TTTTCTGTTTATTCTTCCATCATTTCAGAATACAGATTGAAACCAGACCCTTACTTTTTCTTGGAATCATGTATGCGAAGAATTCTCTGCACAGAGGCCACTCTCTGCTGTTCCTCTTGCCTCTGTTGCTCAAAGTTTCTCAGGTCCAGATATACCGTCTCAGGTTCCTCTTTTTTGGGAATGGAATCTAAATATTCAAAATTAATCAGTTAGATTATATATTTTCACAATTCCCAATTATACATTTTCACCTTTTCTTTAAAAAATATATCCAAAAATGCCCTTTTTCCTGTGACTCTGTGAGTCAGAACAGAGGTATGGGTGAAAATTACCCTTTGGGAATATGAACATATTGATTAACAAAAGGAATCACTATTTCAAATAATAAATTACATCCTGTTTGGATTAACTTAAAACAGGAATAAAGGCATGTTGATCTGTATGGAAGCCATTTAAGAAATTATCGTTTAATGTTTAAATATATTACATTAAATGTAAAAGCCATTCAAGAAATTATTGTTTAATGTTTTAAATATATTATAAAAATTTATTCTTTTACACTGAAAATAGTTGCGGGTTCAAAGTTTTAAAACTTTTTTACCTAGCACATAAGATGAAAGTTCAGGAGGATTTTGTCTCTTCTTTTTGCTCTTCTGAGATGCTGCTTGAGGATAGAAAGAGAAATAAATATGAATGTCTAAATTTAAAAACAAAAATTTTTAATTACAATTATCATGATTTTAATTCATTCTCGTGAAGCATAAAAAGGTCAATATCATCAAAAAAGAAAGAAATGTGTACATAAACCTTGAGTTAGATGATATTTGAGGAAGAAAAGACTTTATAAAAACAACACAATGTCTAACAGTTTATCATCAGTGTTGTATTAAATTATAGCTGTATTAATAAACAGAAAATAAATATACAGAGGTAACCATATATGCCTACTCTAAATGCCAAACAGGATAGAAACAGGATAAAATGAAAATATATATTTTCAAATATAAAATAGTAACAAAATAAAATAAAGAAAATTATTGATATTAGTATCTTTAAGACCATATATACTGAACATTTTTTTCTTTTATAATATATTTTCACTCTGGCTTGGAATCGATTTTTGAAATCTATATAGATATGGAATAACAGTCAGGCAAAATGCTATATACCAGAAAAATAAAGTATCGACTTATAATCTTCTTCCTTCAAATTATTTCAAAATTTTTTTTGTGGGGGGTTGTTCAGTATATTATCATACGTATAACAGAAAATGAGGGATACACAATGCATGCAATAGAATAAATCAAAAAGTAATTTTTCAGTTTTTGTAGATTGAAAATATTAATCACTATGTTGCATCTACTAAATATCTAATGTAGTCTCATAAATCTGTAAAAGAAAATTGCTAAAGATACAGAGGTGCAACGTCTGGCTACCAGAATATAAATCTGTACATGTACCTTCTAAATCAGCTGTGACGCCTTTTTTATGAAATAAATGTAAAGAATTGTGAATACCATACAGCGGTGACCAAATACAAACATCTAACATTTGCATTATTGAAAATACAAACATTTCTAATAAGGTTCATTGCTCACGTTAATTTGACTCCCAAATATGCAGTTTTAAAACAAACTCCCCACCAAATATCACCATGCAATTACAATATCATAATGGTAATAACTCTGAATTCTGAAAGCATTAAATGTTTTTTTTTTTCAAAATATTGTTTAGTTAGTTAATATGCTTAAAAATACTGACTCAAAACTTTTGAAAAGCTAGGCTTTGTGCCAAGATATAAATTTTGTGACCATCTAAAATACAAACACTGAAAAGTGAAGAGTTTGAAAATGATAAATAAGTACTGTAGCAACACATTCCCTTACCTCCTATAGACTCATTAATAGCAGTCTTCATTTCTTTGCTTTCTGCTTTCTTCCCCTTCCTCTTCTTCTTCTTGATAACGGCGCCAGTGACTGGGTCCACTTCCTGTTGAGGGAACAGCTGCCCAGACTGTTGTACTGAGAGCTGGAGAAGTCTCTGGATCAGGGTGGGCTCACTGCCTGCTGAAATACATACACACATATATATATATAAATATATTGACATATACCAAATGCATGTACAGAGGAGGCTGAAACTTAGGCATATACAGTACATTGCTACACATTTACATATACTGTGTCAGTGGCTCATTAGGTAAGATGGTACACTTGTGAGGAGAAGACCTCAGGACTGAGGGCTGTACAAAAGACTTCATATATAAGTACACATAGTATATCCCACTACTAGTATATATATACAGACTGGCACTTGTTTAAGCATGAACTAAGTCCAAGATAATTTTTTAGAGGAAATACTGAGATCAAGTGTGATATATCAGTATTTTTTGTTTACAAACTAAACTTCATACTACGGGTCATTTCAAAACTGTTCACATTCTGTTATTAATTTTGCATATAAAAGATATAAGCAAAAATTATAATGAAGGACTATATTTTTTAAACTATTTTTTAAGTCATTCTAATTATTCTTACTATCTTCTCCAGTGTCCCCCATAGCTTCTTGTGGTTGTAAGGACGGCAGATTGAGTTCTTTGGCATTTTCTGAAGACAGAACATTATCTGAAAAAATAAGAATTTAAGCATGAATACAAATAATATTTTAGGTAACAATCAAAACCACCTCTCTCTCTCTATCATATCGCTCTTTATGACATGCACACACGCATGCATGCACACACACACACACGCACATGCACGTGGATGCGCGCGCACACACACTCATTTTGTAAAACATATATGCTAGTACATATCCTACCCAGTAAACTTACCTAGATCTATGTTCTCAAGCTGATGAAGAGACAACCTGGTCCTCTCTGGGATGAACCTCGCCACAACTTCTCTACTCTCAGCCCTAGGTGACGCCATCTTCTTCTTAACAGCCTGCTTAGATCTTCTTGGCGACCTTCTGGAATGTTCATCCTCCGGATCCAAGCCTGGCTCTGATGTAGATCTGTCTACTTTTCTTGATGATGTGCTACTTCCCATAGACACTTTTCCGATTGCCCCACCATTCTGCATGTCAGAATCTTTGTTTTGTACTGAGCTGGAGGAATCCGACTTTCCTACCCAGCCCTGGTACCTAGGCTTTGGTGCAGCATCATTTTCTGTCGAGTCATTCCTAAGTATTTGTCTCCAGCTGCTCACATTGTCTGAGAGGTACCCTGATTCCTGCAGTCTATCTCTGCCCTGCTGTCTTCCTGAACTAGGAACCCTCTCCTCATCATGCCCATTGATATGAAGGGTACCTTCTTGCTGTATGCCGAAATCCATTTCATTTGAAACATGATTGATATTGATCTCCCTTGCCATAGTGAATAGTGAATTTTCTATCATCCCATTCCCGCCACTGGATCGAGATCGTGCCTCTCTATTAACCCTTGATAATTCTACTTCCATAGCTCTAAAGGCATTACCTAACAGTATACCATTTGATGCTGTGTTTGCCTGAGTTGAAGGCATTTCTGTCACTTCATTTTGCACAGAACTACTTGTATAATCATTGTCCAAATTCATGCCATTAGACACGGTTTCTCTTTGAGTTGGTGGCGAGTTTGAGCGTTCTGAGTGCGAACCTTGAAGAGATGAAGAAAGCAACTCCTCAAACTGATCAGAAGTGAGACTCTCGTCAAGATCTTTCTCGCTGTCAAAGAAGGATGAGGTTGTTGAGATCAAAGAGCGTTGGAATATTCCGACATCTTCATCTGAGCTGACCTGTGAAAAAGATTATATATATATATATATATATATTGTATACGTAATAGATGAATTTGCCATCAGACTTCCACTACTACAACTTTTGGGGTTTCTTTTTTCTTAAATTAAAAAGTCCTATTTTCTTACACAGAGACATGCTGTTTATAGTTTGGTCCTCAAATGATCTCCAATGTTCTTAATTTAGTGCAAAGCAAAGGGTATATCATACAGTAAAAACATATATGTATATCTTAGCTACTGTAATAAAGTAGCAGGAGCAAGCTTGGACAAGACATTAAAGATATTATAAATCTAATTATTCAATCTGAACCAATTCTTCAAACAAATTCTTCTACTTACATCAGAGAAATCAAAATCAATAGACGGTAACCTCTGCTCCACTTCAGTAAAAATCTGATCCATCTTTGGTTTCAGGCTTGAGCCATCAGGCAGCATGGCTGGGAAAGACATCTTGCTGGCAAACTGGGCCAAGATGTCTACCTCCCCATCACTGCCTTCATCACTAGACGCCATACTGGACGGATTGGCTGAAATCATGAGAGTCAGCGTCAATTTTAGGGCTCTTTCCCAATGAAAATATTCTACACAGATCCATCCAATAAAGAAATATACCATTTAGCCTGAATGTATTTTTTACGAACTGGTTCTTTTTTGATACAAACAGAGACAACAACGATTGTTAACATGAGTAAGGTATCAGTGAATATACTCTGCAGTGAAACAAATAAATAGCAAATAAAATTTTGCAAGTTGTTTACTTGAAACAAATAAATAGCAAATAAATTTTTGCAAAGTTGTTTACTTGACTTGTATTAAAAAGACAAAAAATCGATCTGCAAAATCACGAAGCTGTAAAGTCTATTTAATACTGCCAAAAACCCACTTCTACGTATACATGTACTGCCACTGGTACAACCTCTTCAATTATTTATTTCATCAAATTTTACTGTTACCGTTAAATCAATTGTTTTCTTTTGATTGCTATTTCTTCTATCTTCAGATAAAACTCAAAATGACAAAGGGCATATCTTACGATAGTCAACAGCTTCATAGTCAGGGCATTGAGATACATGTTACTCTAAAAACCATCAATAAAGTTGCAGAGAGATTAGCATCATTTCCATGGTAATTATAACAACTATCTTCGCAGACGCATTCAAATACTTAGTCGAATGAGCTTTAATTTGGTTGCAATAAAACGTTTAGTAAACCTCACCTTTAAGGGACTATATTATGGTTTTATCGCATCCTAAAATATATGCAAATTCCCCTGGACGGATTGGTAAAAATAAATATTTTGAAGTTTGTGGAATTTGGGTCAGTGCTTTGCCTCCATGATGGAATTTCCCGGATGTCTCGTAATATCTCGTACATTGATCGGCGAGAACATATGATGTTGGACGGCACCGGTGAAAATATTGTAGTGATTCAATACAGTTTCTGTGAATAAACAATAGGAATGGAGGTAAATATCGTGAACACACAAGTTCGTATGATGTAATTTTATCGATAAATTGTGTGTATCCATTTATTTGTTTTGAATTTAATGTTTCAACGCCGTTTAACTTGACTGTCATTTGACAGAGTCACCTGTATCATTTGGAATAGAGACGAAAGCATTCATCGATTTGTAATCTTTTCAAGGACATTATAAACAGAAAGAGTTAATAATGCAGACATCGGAGCATTGATTATTACTATTTCACCATGTACTCCATTCTGCCTGAGGGGTTTCTAATGTGTCGTAGTCTGTGTTTATTGTCTTGATAGTTTGTATAATCGTTAGTACATGTACGTGCAGTGTACTGGCACCAGTACTTCACTCTCTTCTTTTAAATTGCATGATGCATGATGTAAAGCTTATATTTAATTGATGGTAGTAACGATGGTAAGGTATGTTATTAAGGATATAGGTATATATTAAGTGAGTTACTCTTCATTAGTTTTACATTTTTTTATTTATAATTATAAAAAAAAAATTAGACCCATCTTTTGCTAATTAAAAATGTTGAACTTTTTCATATGTCACATATTGCAGGGTAAAAAGGTGCAGCTTTTGTGCATGTTCCAAAACAACAGACTGAGGTAACCAGTGCATGTGCTTGCAGACACCTGCAACATGTCACTGTACGAGGATCGTTACGAAGCATCGGATGAAGCCTCGGAGAATGAGCTCCTGGATAAGAGTCTGTCCGTCTGGCGGGGCTGGAGCACATTTGAGACCAGGGACGACTTCCAGCCTATTTCTCTGGACCTGCACACGGCTAGTAGCATAGGGCAGTTTGACAGGGTCAGGGCTTATATACAGAGGTAGTTCTTATTCTGTACAGTGTGTATTAGTTAGTGTGCATGATGATATTTAAAGGTTCATGCATAGTTCATTTCAGAGTATTGTGGCTTTGTAATAAATTTTCACCTCTGAAAACATTTTCGTAATTTCTTGTCTAATGAATTAACGCCATTTTACTACCTTGTTTTAATCAATTTCTTTAACTGTACTATGCAACTATCTTACAACTGTTATTTCCTATTGTTTAGTGACAAGGAAGACTTAAACAGGAAGAACAGAGGAGGATGGACGCCCCTGATGTATGCCTGCTATATCGGCCATGATACGATCGTCAACCTCCTCCTAGATGCCAATGTCAACGTGAATGTCAAGAACAGCAAAGGTCAGACACCACTGATGCTGGCTGCAAGCTGTGGCAATGAAAGTGTGGGATATTTTCTGTTACAAGTAAGTGGAAATTGAATTGAAATACTAGTAATGTAGAATGGATTTGCTGAATTTGTTCTAGAAGGACTTGAATAAGCTCTTTATAAGCTTCAGATAATCCTTTCAGGTGGAACTTATTGGTTAAGGACATATAGTTAACTGGTGTTCCAAGTGTTTAAGGAAAAATAGTCGTGTATTTTCTGTTTAAGTGAAAACAATGTAATCCCACCTTTCAATGGAGTTTAAATTAGATAGTGTATGTATATGTTTCTTTTCACAGGCGGGTGCTGAAATGGAGGCACGTGATCGTAAAGGTTGGACAGCGCTATTTCATGCCACGTACGCAGGCCACCAAGATATGGTGAAGTTTCTGTTGAATTCTGGTGCCAACACAGAGGCAGTGTAAGTCAGATCCTGGGGGTTTTGACTGCTTTTACTTATAAAAAAACAATAGTCACTCTCAAGAAATGCCCTGTGTACTTTTAAAATAATGAGATTACATCCCTTTTAATGAATTGCATTTTATTTTAAGTTGAATTACAAGAAATGCATGTAAATATTCACTTTCTTAAATTCAGAGGTATTATGTAAACTAGGAAGGGTTTTTTTAAAGTGTCTAAAGACAGTTTTTGATGAGCTCTGGATAATTGGTTATTAATTTTCCCCCTTTTTTCTTTTTTATATTAATTGCCTTTTACATTTTATTTTTCCAGTAGGATGCTTATCACATATATTTTTATTCCAGTGAGCCTAGTCGAGGGATGACCCCTTTCATTGAAGCTGCTTCAGAAGGACATGAAATTATTGTGCAATATTTGCTTCAACATGTACGTGATTTAAGAGTATGGACTAAGGGGTCATCATTTTTCATCGTTGTTACAAGTCTACAAACCATATTGGGGGGGGGGGGGGGGGGGGGGGGGGGGGGTAATGCCCTCTGAACAATTTTGAAAAATAAAAAAGGTGATCCATATTGCTGTCAAGGGTCATCATTTTTTTTTCTTGTAATTTTGACAAATAGTATTTTCATCATGTTACAAAACTGTGACATTATTATCTCACAATTACATAACATTTATACAGATTTAAGGTTTACTTGATATTTATATTTTTATATTCCAGGGTGTAAATCTTAATGCCAAAACTTACAATGGGGACTCTGCGCGGTCCCTTGCTCTGATCAATGGCCACATGAAGATAGTGAGTCTAATAGACCACCATGTCAATCCTTCCGCTCCACTCAGAGCAGACGCAGGTGAGGGTTCTACGAAGTCATCCATTTTTATCACCATTTGCACAAGTTTACAAACCATACTCTTGGGGAGGGGTTATTGATTGCCCTTTGTACGCTTTTGTAAAATAAAAAAAATGACCTTTCTCCCAAGGGGTTTGCTGGCAAAGATTGTCAGTTTTTGCTATTCACCTTGCATTTGCTGAAAGGGGGAGGGAATCTGGAAAAATATACTCTTTGTAGATTTGAGAAAATGATGATAAAAATTGATAATCCCAAAGAAAATACAGGCATTTTTCTCAACAATTAAATTTTTTTATGACCAGAATTGGTTATTTACATAAGAAATCCATGGGTTATGTTTCAGACCAATGGTTGCTTTATTAAATCTCTGGATTTAACTTAAAGCAAAGTACACTAAGTTTTTGGCCGTGAAGTTCTTTTTTGAAACTGGTCCCAGATGAAACACTGCCGAAATGTAAAGAGTAACTTATTAATTAATAATTATTTTAAAATTTGACTTTTCAGGACTGAGCCTTATTCCTGATGCAGATCTCAGCTCTTCAGACGAGGCCTTCCAAAAGCCTCGTCCTCCAAGTCACAGGCATAGTAAGCCAAAGTTAAAAGGTATGTCATAGGAATCTGTTCAGGTCATTAAGTTTAATGAGAGACCATTTTGTGCTTTTGACCCCCAAAAAAATTAATTGGAAAAAAATTGTCATAGCTTTCTCAACGATTTTCAAGCACTTACCCACTGTCAAGCGATTCATGTTTACCTGTGTTCTCAGTAATGTATTTTTACTTACCAACACTTTTTAGTTACAAACTCTAAAAAAAACATTTAATACAGTACTACTTACAATTACTGTAACTTTTTCCCCACAAAGCTAATCATAATTATTTCATTTAGGGCACTTAGATAATTATGATTATTTAATTCAGGGCCCAGTATTAGAGATGGACCAGAGGCAATGGCTAAAAAACTCAAAGACAAGAGGGGAGCCCAGAGTGAGCGTAAGTAAATATCTGGATATCAAATAGTTGTCTCACAAGATGGAGATCTCATCTACCTGTGTGCATTTATTTATTTATTCATTTATTAAGAGTATTTTGTGTTCCTTTTAGATTTGTGAGTGTTTATTATTGTTTATTTGAACTCATGCCTCTAATATGATTGGACTTAGACACAAAAGAAATTTGTCAGCCATAGACCTTAAAGAAATAACTTTAATCAAATAAAAAGTCTCTTAGTGTCTTTTTACCTATTGAATTTGTTGTAGTCATTTTGTTATCTAATTTGTATGTATGATGTATGTATTTATGTTTCTGTCTTTCCTAACTATTGATTTGAGTGGTGTGGTCCCTTGAAGTTGTGTAGTGCTGACTATTTATGATTTGGTGTGAATTTCTAGATCGCAATCAACCACATATCCCTAAGGGGTATGTGACCTTCAAGGACGACCTTGACCCAGTTTCCAGGGGTCTTTGTTATCGTGATATGACCTCCCCAATAAACGCAGAGGATCATACACTTGATAGCTTTGGAGTGATGGGTATGGAGTTCAAGTAAAACAAGCCACCTTCATATTCAAAAACGTCTTTGAAAGATTTTATAGTTCATTCTTTTCTTGCTTGATGTATTTAAGGAATGTAATGTTATTGTTGTTTACAAGTAATGTATTTTGTTAAGAAGTTCAGTCAAATCAAATTATGTTTTTTAACTGTTCTAATGTATTCTGTAATGATTAACCTTCAGCTACAGTCAAGGCTTTTCCCAGCGAACCATCCAGCCACCATTTAGAAGACCGACCTCCAATATTTTCAAAGACAGCTTGATGGCTTTTGATTTTTTTTTTAAATAATGGCTTTGACTCCCTGAAATTTCATAGGAAATACTGGTAATAATTTTGGACGGCCTGTACCCCCAATCCTGTGAAAAGCCCTGGCTACAATCATTAAAATGCCCATTCCAGTAGTCCCATATACAGGGTAATTATCGTACTTACAGATGGTGATGACAAAGCTGACGTATTCTCTGCCACAGGGGCCCTGACCATCAAAAGTAGCTCTGGTTCCAGTGGTGGTCTAGCTCAAGCTTTCGGCCTCAGTAGAGAGGATAGTACAGACAGTGGCAGTGAAGATCTGGGTCAAGGGCACCAAGGTCACAAAGATAGAGGTCAAAGTCAAAAACCAGAAGGAGGCCATCATGGTCACCATGAATCAAAACATGTTAAATCTAGTCAAGAACAGGATGGAGAAGTTGTGAATCAGAATGGAGGTAACTGCTCCTCCCAAGATAAAGCAGAACCATCTGGAATTGCTCGATATTTTCAAGAGCCACAGGTTTCAAGATCTGGGGAGCCCTCCCCAGGGAATGACTTTGACTTTCTGTGTGGTGTTCCTCCACCAGGGGGAGTGGTGCCAGGAAGAGATTCCAATAACAGAGCACGCGATTTGAAGACTTTTCTGGAGGAGCTTCAGCTGAGCAAATATCTGAAAGTTCTCGAGGATGAAGATGTGGATCTGCAAGTGTTTCTGTCTCTTACGGATAATGATCTCAAGGAAGTAGGCATCAAGTAAGTGGATTGACAAAAAAGAGCTCTGAGAAAAAGAAAAAAGGTAAAAAGTTAGAAAGGAAAAAAAACTGTAAAGCCCATTTGGTATTAATTTGTATAATTATTTTCTGTTAATTAAGGACTTTTTTCTAATTAGATAAGGTAGATCAGCCAGAGATTGAGATTGTTTACCTAAAATAATTTAGTGTATTCTGCAATAAATTACTTTTTTATTAGATTAATGATAGAAAGGTCTTCAATGACAATGACTCCATTGTCTGTGTCATGATATTTCAATGATGAAATAGTACATTCGCTAACCTTAATTTTTTTCATTGCTATATTAATATTATTTTATTATGAAATTTTTCCATTTTATAATTTTTTTCCAGATTGATGGGTCCGCGGCGGAAGATGACCAGTGGTATAGCCAGGTGGCACAGTAACGCCAGACCAGCCAGAAATGACCTGGAGCAGGCCTACGCAGACCGCCTGGAGGCTGAGATGCAGGAGATGGCCATACAGCTACACAAGGTGAACAATGGTCACAGGGAAAGATTTGCCTTCTTAATGCCAGTGTGCTAGATTGCATAGACTGTGGAAGGTCCCTTGCCTTTCTTGTTGGGCTAAGAGCCAGCTTTAGGTTTTGTTATCCCTTTACATCGTATAGGATTGTGGTCACCATAGTTGTTGACATCTAAACGCATTGATGATGTATGAGGAATTTTTATAAATGGTCAAAACAGTTGGTGTTTTATATATTGCAAACCATGTTTATGGTCCAGATGTAACTATTCTCTTGGTTATCAATGCAAATTTAGAAGCTAAAATATTTACTCTGTAATTTTTAGCATTATTCATCATTATTTTATCCCAGTGAAGTTCTGTTAGAAAGTAAACCCTTAAATGATTTTCAAGGTGATATTAAAAAATACTAGAGCAGTGAATTGCTTTACATCAGAGAGGTTTTAAGAGGTTTTAAGTCAATAAATCACATCTTAGAGAAAAAAAAATTGTCACAACTCTGATGCAAAATATTTATGGACTACCCCAATAGAAGTTTCTCTTTGTTTTAAGGCCAATGCTGAGATCCAGCACCTCCAGGCACAACTACTGCAGGAAAAACAGCTGAGGTCTGTAGCAGAGAACTGCCTGATGGAGGACCGTGCTGCCTGGCAACAGGTGGTCACCATGACAACAGAAACCAAGCAACAGTGTCAGGTGATGGAGGAGGGACTGTTGAAAATGAGGTAAGGTTTTTTTCATGTGTGGAGGATTGGAATTCGATGCAGTGATTTTGCATATTAAATGGTTTTTGCCTATGGAATTGTGAGGATTTTTTAAATTTGCATTTAACTATCACCTTGAATAATATAGTTTTGTAAGTTAAAATAAAGAAATGTTTCAAATTATCATTTTATGTTTTATTTTACAGGTTTTAAGAAGAGATTCTCATATTTTATACATTTTGGATATTTTTGAAAAATTTGAAACATATTTACCATAATATGATGGACTTAAAAATTTATAGATTCCCTGTAGAAAATAGGCGAAATAATTTATGCTGCTGTTTATAGGTTGTGCCAAAAACTACGAGAAAAACAAGACGAACTTGGTCATACACAGTCAAGCAAAAAGGAGGAATGTAATCTCACAAATTTAATAGAAGAACTTTCAATGGACGATAAAAGCAAAGCTTTAGCCAATGAAATTGAAGACAAGTCTTCGGAAGGATTGAATCTCATCATGGCAACTGCACTGAGTGAGCTTGAAAAGTGTCTGTCAAAGACGAAGATCAATACATCCAAATTGCTTGGAAGAAGTCAAGAAGCTGTCCAGGAGGAGAGGTAGCACTCGAAAATGATAAAAAGTAAAGAGAAATATTGTGAAAAAATGTATGATATAACTGCAGCTGGTAAGATTAAATAAATACATAAGTCCAAAGTATTATAATAATGTTAAGTAATATTTATTTTTTTAATTAAAATTTTGGTAAAATAGTTAAATATGACTAAAACCACTTGAGGTTGAGATTGCTTAGGCCTCATTCACAATGGTGGACCAACTAGTCTAAGGGTCAAATATGGTCGACCGACTCAAATACTTCCCCATGAGATATCTGTCCAGTGTCTATTAGCAGATTAGACAGGAAGCTTTGTAGTGGATCGCCATATTTGACCCTTGGACTATTTAGTCCACTGTTCTGACTGCGGCCTTAGTCCTCGCTTGTGAGTTCAGCCATACACTGCTGAAGTTGCAGTTAAGGACAGATAACATTTCAGTCAAACTCCAAGTCTTGAAGATTCCTAACTGAGAGAGAAATACTAAATGTTCCAATTCATCCAGTAGTGTGGTATCACATAAGAGGGAAGATAGATTTATTTAAACCTGGACTCTGAATTAATAAAACAAGGAGCCAATGATGCTGTTGAAGGTCACTGGCATTGATTGCAACATTGCATCATTGCTTTTAAATTATTACCTCACAACTCCAGTACTGAATTTACTTTCTCTCTTATTATTTATTATTGTTCAATCCTCTTCAATATCTAGTTGAAATACACTTTAAGTGGAATATCCCTTTTAATCTTAAAAGATTCTGTGGTCTCCTAATTATGAGAATGTGCTATGCCAAAGAATATTAGTGATTGAATTCTAAGATAAATGTTATAGAATGTTATTTTTATATAAATTAGTAATGTGATGATATTTTTGGCTCCAGCGGCCCTATAAGATCATAACTGTAAGCTGAGGAGTAAGCTTTAAAGGATTTAACAATTTATATATGTTAATTATTTTTGTTATTTCAGTAGATGTTGCTCTGCAATTATAGTTTGAAGTAAATAATAACATCAGCTATAACTGCCAATTTTTTCCTGGACTAATTACTTGCTTTTAAGCTAAATTAAAATAAGTAACTTGTTGGTGGAGAGATTTCAATATGTCAAAAATGCTAAAATTGGCAGTTATTGTGTTGACTTTTTCTTAGCTGCCAAAATATAGGAAATTATGAGATTATGCATGTTACTGTCCACCATTAGAAATGATGGAATTAGACATGATGGAAACCTTTTCACTTTAAGCTCACTTAGAATTTTTAGCACCAGAACGTATCAGACCAGATCTTCTGTCTCTTATACAGAATTATGTTTAAATTTATAATTTATTAGGGTTAGTATAAAATTGAATGCTATTATGTATGGATAAAAAAGTTTCAAAATTGCTTTTTTCTATACGACTGCTTGTGGCATTGAATTTCTGTTGAAATGTCAATGTAAACATGATACATTTCACTTGTTGCACTTTTTTTTGTCATTTAGAAATAGTATATATTTTCCTTGAAGCAAGACATCAAGCATTAGCTTTGCTTGGCAATCTCTGTTTTGATTATTGAGGTTAGTTTTTATTTTATTATTTATTTTTTCAGCACTGAGTAGTTATTTCACATTCTTGTTCAAAACTAGTCAACAATGAATGCCTTTCAAAGCTATCAGACATGTTTGTTTTCCAAATGCATAGAACTTTTCAAATTTATAACTGCAGAGATGAGATTTTTCCAACTATTAGCAGATTTTGGGCTCTTTGAATGGTGTTGGTGCTTACAACAGCAATGAGATTTTTCTGACTATCAGGGGATATCCGACTTTTTAGAAGTCAAAAAGTCTCATCCCTGTAACTGGGGGAGAAAGAAAGAAAGAACCTCCACAATTGATCGGTAAATGTTGAGTATTTGTATTTGTGAACTGAAGGAAAAAATATTATCCTTCTACTGTGACTAGCTTCTGTAACTTTTACACAGAATTTTCACTTGATTAATCATAGATGTATCTTTATAAATAGCAAATTAATTTAAGTCAGTTAAGATTTTGAGTTAAAAATTCAATTAATTGACCTTATTACACTTCTAAAATTTCAAATGGTGTTAAAAAAAGATGGGATTAGACATAGGAGAAGTGTTCTCCATCATGTTGCTTTTATGTTAAAGATGTCAATTATCTCATGAGTATGTGGTTTACACATTTATAGCACATTAATGTTGATACTAATTGGGGTTGTATATGAAAAATTGGGCTCATTCCCTTGAAAGGTTGAACTATTTTTGAACTAGTAGTGGACATATTTTGATCTTATACAAGATATAAAATAACATTCATGTTTCACAAACAGATAATATAACAATACTGATTGCATTGGACTATATTGAAGTACACGTTTAGGTGCACAGGTCATGCATTCGACGTAAATACCATTGTATTTCAACTCGTGTCTCTGTTGAAAATGTAACGCTCACTGTAGTTATACACGTGTAAAGTATGTTTACAGCTTTGTATTACTGGAAGCCTTCACCTAAATAGCGAAATGGAGCTTACTATGCTAGCTTCATAGTCTTACCTAAAAGCTATGTTTCAGGACTTAGGCGTGCCAGCGTCTTTTTTTTTAATTTAATTTTTTTTAACCTCCACATGTGCTAGCGGGCGAGTGGGGATGGACGTTTGAATATGAAAGAGCTGGACAGCGTAACTTCTGAATTCCGGCACCATTTTTGTATGTGTGAAGAGATGACATAGATTACCTTCATTTTCTCTCATAAGAACCATTGTTAGGAATTTGTTTAGATTATTTATTAGGAACACTGCTGTAGGTTATCAGCTTTGCCCCGCATGGGATGTAAGAGCGTATTCAGAAGGAGTTGATCCGCGGACTAACTGATCTGCGAATCGGATATGGCTGACCCACTTACAAGCAATGACGACTAATCCCCTGATGGTCTTCCCGCCCCCAGACGCGCCGTCTCGAGCAATTAAACCTCGTGGGCTGAGATTTAATCCGTTTAATGGCGCGTGTGGAGGCAGGGAGACCATCATTGAATAATGCGGCTTGCCTTAAAGTGGCGTCTGCCATATTTAGTCCGCAGATCAGTTAGTCCGCGGATCATCTGTTCTGAGTGCTATTTTTAAGGAATATATATGTATATATGTAATTGTTCACAATCACTGTGTAGCCGCATGGACAAGCCTTGTCTCTAACTGGGTCTCTGGTGCTCGTGGGCCAAGATGCAATAAAATATGTCCCAATTTGGGAAAAGTTGTGCTTTGGTTGTCTTTATTAATACTTATGAATGGGTCTTTTTTTAGCAAAATGTGAAGACGCTCGGTTTTGTGAGAAAAAAAAGAAAAAAACGGCTTTCTATCTATTTACGGGGACTTGGGGGGTATCTTTAAAGTTTCTTCCTTCGTTTGTTCACCGAACTCTGCCCCAATCCTTCTTTCCTTTACGTGATTTTGAAACGTGAGCTGAATTGTGTTACAACAGTATCATCCGAGAGGCAATGATTAAGTATCCCTTTAAGTATCCCCTCCGCGTTCCACCACCGTGTAACATTTTTTTTTTTTTTTTTTTTTTTGCATTTTTCTTTAAATGGCTTTGATTTATATTTTTTTTATAACGAATAATATTCTAATTCGGTATATTGAATCTAACTTCCTCGAAATAAGGAGAATTGGAAACTTAAGCCTACTTTGACGAAGAAGGCGTATTCTTTTACGTTTTAATGTGCAGTTTATATGAGACACGATCTTGATTTTCTCCGCAAGGTATAGAAAAATATTTTTAATTTCTATGCAGCTCATAAATATATGAAATAGGGTCGGTCATGTATCAAACTGGGGCTTTTGGGCGTCCCGAACCGTATTTCTGGTGCGATGTTAGGCCTGATACGATTACAAATATAGCTTTCAACTTCAAGAGAAATAGTTCGCGTCATGAATTGTCTGTCTGGATTTGTAAGCAGACGGCAGTTACACAAGTTGGATGTCAATATCAGTCGTCTGTGCGTATTCCGCACATGACACAATTTAACGACTTGCCTATCTTTTCTACAAGAATTTGTAAAATGAACAGGGGTGTGTCTAAACATACTGAAGCCTCTTGACACTTGGGGGAAAAGCTATCGACTTCAAGAATCCGTCCATTTTCTCGTAAATGCCTCCTTCAATGTCTCCTTCAGTTGCTTATCCTTGTCGCTTGTAAACAGTGCTCTCCGGCCAAAAATATACTACACGCCTAAGAGGTCGTCTTTATTGGTATGGCCAGATACAAAAAAGGGTCATAAAATTCAGATTTAAGTTTGGAATGTAAATGGGATTATCTCCAAAACTGTTGTAAATTGTAAAAACATGTTAACGTAATGATTAGAGAATAGCGTTTTGCAAAAGTTGCTATGCATCTCACAGTTTTAAGGTAATAGGCCCTTTGCAGCTATATAACTAGATGTTGACTTCTCTTTTGTTTACTAAAGAGCTTAGTTGAATTTCATTTTATTCATAAGCAAGAGTTTGCGTCAAAGAAGAGGAATGTTTTGCATATAAGACTAACAACTGTTATAAAGGTACTTTTAGATGATGCGGCATACTTTAATTTTTATTTTCTTTGGTTAGGGGCATCTTAGTTCACGATTAAATCGATACGTACTAGGCCTACCTATCACCTTTACTGACTCGGCTGTTTATGCTGTCTTGTTAAACAAGCTATTGAAACCATCCATCTGTGACGTAAACATTTTTGTTCTCATGGATCAAAACTAGTTTGATGCAGGTAAGACGCTTGTAAACACCATTATAAAGCGTTCTCTCTCTCTCTCTCTCTCTCTCTCTCTCTTTTGGTAGGACCATGCATATGTATATAGCTTCATGTCTAAACATTGCCTTTGACTTTGTTGTTTGGTCTGTCGCAGAGAAGTGTACTCTTGACCAGCAGTTCCCTTGCTACGTAAACTATGACTGTTTGCATATTATGACTTGATTGAACCTGAATCTGCATTAAATGGACAGGTGTAAATTTCTCTTTCAGGAGGCTGCTTTTGAGATTCAAAATTTAAGAAAATACTGAGGAAATTTCTTTAAATCTATTTTTCAGCTATATTCAACCATTCTTATAACTACCCTCCGAGTCTTTACTTTAAAAGGTTTTATCTGTGTTAATGGAAGACATTTTTAGCTTTCAATGCAGCGCTCTTACATGTGTCTAAAGACGTCTATTAAATAAGTCAGTTTCATTCTATAGTAATTACGTAAAAGGCATCTTGGAAAATAGAGCATTTTGAGTGATAAAATCTCAAAGACCACGCTCTCAAAATCAAAGACCTCACAAACTGTCCTTTTAGACCACACTCACAAAGACCTCGTAAATTGTCCTTTTTAAAAAGACCACACTCGCGACAAATTATGGTATTCATTCAAGTGCTGAAATCGTGTTAAAATTACACGCAAAGATGTTGGGTAATAAAAATGGTAGGGGGAGGGGAGAAGGGGTTACTTACTCTGGATTGAATGATGAAAAGCGTTTGTTTTAACAGAAATTTAAGAACAAAGGTTACTAGTTGTATATGAAATGCAAAGCATTTAACACACGCACGCACACACATATTTTATAAAGGCTCTTTCTCATCTATAAGCAATATTTTTATAAAAGTCAAACTATAAGACGGATGACTTTTTCTACTGATCGCATCAGTGCCTTTTGCTTGTACGACAAGAGTGGTTATGTAGGAAAACATGTCTATCCTCGTGCTGCTACTTGTTTGTGCCTATTAACTTCCACAGTTATTAACGCTTCAGCCCACTGAACAAAATAGAACATCGGAACATTTTAAAATCTCATGTTCTTTCTTTGTAACACAAAACACGGAAACAAAAAGCCCATGAAATATAAGATCTGTTCAAGATTAACTTTAGTGTCACCTGAAACATACAGTATCGTTTGTACCATTCAGTGATTATTTTGCGGTATGAAATAAGAAATTTAATACCTATGATGACTTGGAGTTTTTATACCTTAGCGGACCCTAGCGTTTTTATGAGGGAGGGGGGGGGGGGGGGGGTCCGAGGTTCCGCTTGCATGTCTGAATGCATGAAATGATAACATAAATAATAAAAAACGCAATAATAATGAACAGTTGTGGTAATAATAATAACGCTAATTGGTAAAGCCCCCGCCCCTCATCTAATGAGCTCACTGGTTCCGCCGATATGAATTCAGCTTGCCAGTGTCTTTTTTAACGTAAAATGTCACATGTAAAAAATACAAATTTAAACACAGTACACAGACAAGGTACCTTTACTTTGTGGTAAATGTACTAGTAATGCACAGAAGAGTATGGCCTAATTGCAGTATTATGCAGAAATAATTAGAGTGTCGGAAATTAGAGCTAACATCCCCATAAAATTTCTCAGCGTAGTGAAACATGGCATCGACCTCTCTCTCTCCCTCTNTACCTTTACTTTGTGGTAAATGTACTAGTAATGCACAGAAGAGTATGGCCTAATTGCAGTATTATGCAGAAATAATTAGAGTGTCGGAAATTAGAGCTAACGTCCCCATAAAATTTCTCAGCGTAGTGAAACATGGCATCGACCTCTCTCTCTCTCTCTCTCTCTCTCTCTCTCTCTCTCTCTCTCTCTTTTCAGTCACAGTTACAGGCGTCTTCATTTCAGTGACATCAAAGTTTTAGTTTGACAATATATTTGCGCCTGCGGACGTTGAGCATGTGCAAGCTCATATGTAAAATAATAATAATAAAAATAGAAATAATAAACCTTCGCGCACATACAAGTCCATTTGACCGTACACCTGTATATAACACACATATACCATCACAATACCGTCCTTTATTTACACAGAATTGAACACAATAGTGCACCATCCACGTGCAATTGATCCACACTTCACTAAGCCCACATATATACCGTACACAGCTGATTTCAGCAGCAAGTGACGCATGTATTGATCTCAAATGTGCATTTGGGACGCTACTAAGCACATTGTAATTAAGTCTGTACTTCCATTTTAATCTTCACTTATTCATATTTCAAACAGACCGAACTAGAACGCTCCATATGCGGGTATTGTTAGCCACATTGCAAGTTCAGTTGATGTGCTACGCTGCTGCATTATGCTAAGGTTGTTTTTCTATAGTAAGCACGTTACGCTGCGACACACAGAATAAGGCACATATAATATCCAGTGACATTATGTGGCGGGTCACACCATTTCGGAGCCGTTTAGGACTGGAATAGGGAAAGAGAACACCATAAATCTAAGCTTCAGCATGATCGCGAGAGACAGGAGAGACGATAGCTGAGTGTTCTTAAGAAACCTTGTCAGGTGCTGTCGAGTTGCACAGGTGTTTGAGGCGTCCTTGTCAGGGAGCAAGGACAGAAACACACAGGTAGGTGGAGGTTCAGTTTTGACAAATCAAACTGGGAAATCCCGATCCGGTAATTGGAATCCGGATCCGATAATTGTCACCTCTCACCAACCCTCGGCTACTGGATTGGGGGGGGGGGGGGGGGGGGGGGGG